TGGGGCGCGGCGCGCGGGGAGCCGAGCCAGGGCCGCTCCCGCCACCCCCGCCCGGCCGGCCCAAGATGGAAGCGGCCGTTGGGCCCGCACCTTCCCGCCGGGAGCCGTCCCTGAGGAGAGGGTGTCGACGGCCGGTCCTCCCGAGGGCTGCGCGTCCGCCCGCCCTCAGGCCCGGCGCGGCCGGAGGAGGCCCGCGGCCGACCCCCGCTCTCACCTTCACGTCTGTGCGGCCGCGACGCGAGTCCCACCACTTTGATCTGCTTTGGGCTTTAGCCGAGGACCCTCCCGTCTCAGCCTAGCATGGCGGCGGGGGGGGCGGGCCATCGCCCAATGACGCGCCGAGCTTTCCCCAAGAGTCCCGCCTCCCGCCCCGAGCCTGGCCAATGAGGGCTGAGCGCGCGGAAGGGGGCGAGGGGGACGGGGAGGGAGGGTGGGTTGGCCTGGGGAAGTTCGGTTGGCCGGCAGGCTGCGGCTTCGGCCACGGGGTTTCCTCCAATTAGATCCAGGGTAAAAGGACGTCACTGTTGCCATGGCGATGCTGTTACTAACTCCCCTCATCCTCCCCGCCACCCCTGCACTCCTGGGTGCGGCACGAGACTTAGAGGCGCGCACGAGCTCCGTGGCAGTGGCCGCGTCTCCCGCAGCAGCCGTCGCTGCGGACGGTGCACTGCGTCTTGTCGGCTCCTGCAGCTGCGGCTCCGGTCCGCCCGGCTGAGTCCGCCCCGACTGAGGCTGGACTTCGGAGGGTGACATAATCGGCCGTTCTGTTGCTCGCCTTTCTTTCCTCCACCTTCCCGTTAGTGACAAAGATTTGGAGCTCAAGACTCTAAACCCGGACTTTAATGACCTTGCGATTAGGGCTGCGAATTAGAAATAATCCCATCCTCATTAAAGAGGAATTAGTTCCTGTAGAAAGTGGCTTAAATATGGCTTTTACATGCTAAATTCAAGTTTTCAGACAGGCACCTAAAACCAAAAATTCCCTAGTAAAAAAGGTAGATCCCAGAAGATCCTGGGAGGTCTCTGTAGCAATAACAGGTATTGTCATTTTCTTTAAAATTGGAAATGACATTATGCACCATTTGGAGAAAAACATCCGTAACTACCCCCTCCTCAAACATGCATACCCCCCCAAAGCAAATTTTATATTTCTTTCCAGCTTTTCCAAGTTATGCATCTAAATACATATTTTTCTAAACCTTTGTCTTACGTGTACATGCTTTTTATTTTCTGCTATTGTTTTTGAGAGGACACTTGAAGAGCTAAAATTCTATCCCTCCATGTTGCTTTCTGACTTTCTCCTCCTGGTGATTGCCCTCCTCAAGTGAGAAAGGTTGCCCCAAATGTCTTGTGCTCAGGGTGATCCCGAGCATTTTCCGTTTCTTTCAGGCCACTCCCATCTCTCCTGGCACTTCTGCAATACCCCACTCCAAGTAAGGTCGCTGTCCTGAGGGTCTGGGAAGTGGCCTTTGTACCATTATAAGATGAAAATTGTCGTCTGAGCTAACGCTGCTATGATTCCAAGTCCAGCATGTCCAAGGGAAAATGGGTCATAAAAAGGCGAGAAAGAATTTCAGATTCTAAGTGGAGTCTGGAGCAAATCTGGAGAATCTCTAGAATGGAAGATCTGAGAGTGCAGACAAATGGGAGGAGAAGGTGTGGACTTTCCAGAAATTCGGACTCCCTCCCAATTGCCCCTCCCTGTCCTGACTTGTAAAGGTTGCTTTGTGCTTTGATAGACAGGAGAGGCCTGGGAGAATCTCTAGAATGGAAGATCTGAGAGTGCAGACAAATGGGAGGAGAAGGTGTGGACTTTCCAGAAATTCGGACTCCCTCCCAACTGCCCCTCCCTGTCCTGACTTGTAAAGGTTGCTTTGTGCTTTGATAGACAGGAGAGGCCTGGGTTGGAGAAAGCCTGTGTCTTAATGCAGAAATGCCTTACTATGTTCCAGTGTTCTAATGGAGGGCCCTGCTGTTATTTCTGGAATCCCTGGGGCCAGGCTGCAGACACGCGAGTGTTTACAGCCGTGTGGGCTGGGGTGGAGCCGGACACCAAGAAATCCCAATGGAAAGAATTTGCATGTGGAAGGTCAGATAAAATGTTTTCTGTATGACCAGCGACTTTCGAGCTTACTGAAATTGGAGACAGCCCCGACAAGGAGAGAAACCAGTGGAGGTGGATGGGGGAAGGGGAGAGATCCTTGACAGAGAATTGTCAGGGGTTTGAATCTCTGTGGCAGGAAGAGAGGGGCTACCCAAAAGGGGCAAGCACACTAAATTCTTTGTCAGAAAATCTGGACCATGCTGCCATCTCCCCTGGTGACCTTGGGCAAGTTTTTGCTGCTTTCTGTACCTCAGTCTCCAAAATTTCTGCTTTCATTCAATCAAATATTTATTGAACGCCAACTTATATAGTTATGATCATCTGGAATCATGGGTGAAAACTGCTTTGAAACAATGCCACCCAATGAAATTGCATTTTATGAGGGTCCAGAGGGATCCTCTACATATCTAAAGACCTCTGTGCCTGAAAGAACCCAAGCTGGAGAAAAATGAGGCTCTGAGAACTTTAAGTCCCTGGACAAGAAAATCACTCATTTATTGAGTGATTACATATGTCAAGAACTATTTCAAGTCTTTTGCGAGGATTAACTCATTTAATCTGCTAATGCCACTACAGTGTAGGTACTATTATGACCAGCATCTCCATTTCACAGATAAGGAAATTAACACACAGGGTGTTCAGGTATTTGTACAGAGTCACACAGCTAGTGAACAGCAGAGCCTGGATATGAACCCATATGGTCTGGATGCCAAAAGCCATCCTTTAACCACTGCGTGGCCTCCTCACCAACTCTCCCCAGATCTCTGCTAGATGCTGTATGGATTTAGGAAGGATCAGATGAGTCTCCTTCCTCTAGGAGTTGCAGCCCTAGTAAATGTGAAATGTGTTAAGCATCACATCCGACATGCTGGGAAGAACACTAGGGAACAGACAGCCAACAAAGAAAGTACTGAGAAGGCATTACCTTATTTGAAGATCTTGTTATTTTTTCTAAATTACCTGGTAAGAAGAAGCTGCTGGAGCAGGAGGGAGCACACTGAACTTGGAGCCAGAAGATTCTAAATCTCAGTCCTGCTATTTATTTGTGGTTTCACCTTGGACACCTTGATCCTCTCTGAACCTCATTTTCTAATACCTGCAACCCATAAAAATAATTCCTACCTCAAAAGGTTGTTGTGGAGATTAAATGAGCTCTCACATAGGAAAATGCTGGGCATATAGCAAGTGTTCAGCAAATAGTAGTTTTTCCTTCTTTCCCTCTGCCTGGGGGTGGGGCACGGGAGGGAGGGGAATTTCTATTCTGCTGCAAGGAGCCTTAGAGCCTTATAAAATGTTAGTGAAAGTTTATCTCCTGAATCATTGTTGTAATTAGTGGAGTTAATGGTCTGCAGAATGGCTACATTCAGTGTACATTTAAGAAGGAATGAGTCCTCCTGGTTGAGTTTACTCTCATAAATTGTTTCAGTTGTTTATTTGCCCAGAGCAGTGGATGATCAGAGAGAAACTTCTTTCTTTTCCTGACATATGGTAGCTATTTTACTGACAAACAAACATTTGAGTGGAGATTTTCACCCAAATTTCCAGTATAATTATTATCAGTGCTTCTGTGCAGTGGGCATTTAAAGAGTTGCCCTCAGTCCCCACCCCACCCAGAGGTGCTAAATGAGACCCCACAGAGTCAGGGACTGGCGGGGAACTCAAGAGAGCCTGGTCAGGGAAGACTTCTTACACATTCCCTGGCTTTGCAACTTGATTCACTTTGTTCAGTGTGATGGTTAGTTTCCTGTGTCAACTTGGCTGGGTCACGGTGCCCAGATATTTGGTCAAACATTATTCTGGGTGTTTCTGTGAGGTTGTTTTTGGATGAGATGAACATTTAAATCAGTGGATTTTGAGTAAGCAGATTGCCCTCCCTAATGTGTTTGGGTCGCATCCAATCAGTTGAAGTCCTGAATAAAACAAAAAGACCAGCCTCTTTTGAGCAAAGGAGAATTCTCCAGTAAGAGAGAATTCTCCAGCAGACTGCCTCTGGACTTCATCTGCAACAGTGACATTCTTGATTCTACAGCAGATGGCCTTCAGACTCAATCTGGAACATTGGCTTTCCTGGGTCTCTAGCCTGTTGGCCCACCCTGCAGATTTTGAACTTGCCAGCCTCCATAACTGTGTGAGCCAATTCCTTATAATAAATCTCTCTTTTATATATGCATATATGAAGAGAGAGACTATTGATTCTGCTTCCCTGACCAATACATTCAGTAACTTTCTTTTTCTCTAAAAAATTAATATGGAGATCTTTTAATAGCTTTAAATGTATGTCTGCGACGTATCAGCCTCTTCCTCTCTCCCTTACCAGACCATGAGCTTCTTGAAGGTGAGGGTTTTCTTTTGTGATCTTGTATCCCTATTGCACTCTCAACAACTTGGTAAAGTTAGGTATTATAATTCCAACCATAGGGCTGATTAAACTGAAGCTCAGAGGGGTTAAATTACCTGTCCAAACTGGTAAGCTTTAAAGTTAAGATTCAAAAACACGTCTGTCTGATTTCAATCTTCTACTAGCAGACAAGGCTCTAGGCTACCTGCAATGGAAGATAGACGCTCCGGTGTTTGCTGGCCTGGGAACAATGTTTAGTTATTTGAGGCTGATGGGTGGCTAAGTATATATCTACTGGTGAGTCAGTGGCCGATTTTATTTTCTTATGGAAGGCTCTGTCTTTATGCTCAACATATCTGCAGCGAGAGAGGTGCCACTTTGTCCCTTGTCTGTTCTCTTTGATTGTTTACATTTCTCTTCCCTCCTCCCCTACCACCCCCATTAGATTGTGACCATCCAGTGGATAAAGTTACATCTTATCTCAGTGTCCCTGCTGACTTTACTGGCCCACAGAAGATATTCAGCAAAGGTTTGTTCTGAGAGTGAATCCAGGCCATCAGGGGAAGCATTTCCAATAACAGCGATTGTTGGTGTTGCGTGCTTACTATGTGGCCAACCGTGTACAAAGTCACTAGGATAGTAGTAAACCCACACATTAAAGCACACAAAACAGAGCTGTGTCTTCAGCAAATATTCCATAAATACAGGATTATATG